GAGCGCGGCCGTGAGGAGGCCGAAGAGCCAGCCGCGCCACCACTCGGGCAGCATGGTCTCCCAGGACACGAGCAGGCCGTCGACGTGCGCGCGGGCGGCGGACGCGAGATGCGAGGAGGTCGAAGACACCCAGTCAACGCCGCGGGCGCCGACGCCGACGGAGAAGAGGGCGAGCGCGAGGAGGAAATGCGCCGCGAGCTGGGCGGCGAAGCCCTGGGCTAGCGAGGTGAGGTCGAGCTCGCGAAGCGAGAAGAGCTCACGCGTTTTTGCGGGGCCCATGCGCTTCCTCACTGCGGCAATGGAGTGAGCCAATGTTTGACGGCAACACCAACCCCGAGTTTGTTTACACGCCGCGCTCGAAGACGTCGGCCTCGGCCTTGAGCTTGACGCCCTTGAGGAAGCCCGTCGACGTGACGACGCCGCCGCGCTGGCGCCACCAGGTCTTCGCGAGGCGCTCGATCTGGACGTCCGCGACGGACGCGTCCGCGCTGCGGTACTTGCCCACGGACCGGCGGAAGGCGCGGACGATCTCGATGGTGTTCGTCGCCGCGGACGTCGAGTAGTCGAAGCGCCGCTCGGCGAAGTCCTCGAAGGACGACTCGAAGGACTCGCGCGCGTCCGCGACGTCGCGACTCAGGGGCTGCGGCCGCCCGACCTCGTAGACGACGCCCGCGAGCGCCGCGCAGACGGCCCAGGCGCCGACGTAGGACGCGGACCCCAGCGCGGCGACGAGCGCCGCCTGCGCCGCCGCGCCGAGCGCGCCGTAGACGGCCGCGGTCGCAAACCGCAGCTCCGGCGGCGGCTCCGCGGCGTAGCCGGCCGCCCGCTCCGCGAGGAACGTGCTGTTGCGCTCCAGGAGCACCTTGCCCAGGGCGTAGGACGTCTCGCGGCCGGGCCGGATCTGCGACTCGAGGCCGAGCGGCGCGAGGAGCCAGTCGGGGCCGAGGTAGAGCGACAGCCCGAGGAGACAGGCCGTCGACGCCGCGACGACCTCCGGCGGCAGGAGCGCCGCCGCGGGCTCCGCGAGGCTCGGGAAGGCGCGCGCGACCTTGTCGCCCTCGGATAGT